TCTTTCCCTCTAGTCATTTCTAAATGTCTCCTTTCACAAAAAAAAAAAAAAAAGAAAAAGAAAAAATTTCAAATAAAAATAACTTGTAGTTTTCTCAGAAATTAAATTATCCAGAGTTCACATGACTCTGATTTTAGTGTTTTGGAGATTCTGGACAACTTGCCAAATAGCTTTAATGGATTGAGCACATCTTTTTCTGATATTTTATATTTAGCAGTATGTAGCCTGGTAAGAGAAATGTGGTCCATGAAACACTAATACAGGAATCATCTGTTAAAGATGTTAACCTGCCAAATTAAAATCTCAGATGAGAGCCTAGCTATTTTAATAAGTCTTGAAGGAAATACTGAAGTTTGGAAGCCACTGCTCCATCCGGAAAGGAGAGCAAGGCCACAGTGTGCCCACTGCTGTTCTGTTTCCAGCCCAGCCTGACTGTGAGCCCGTGGATGGCACGGGACAACATAGCAAGACCGCGTCTTTAAAAAGAATGCAGAGAGGTGTGATTTGCTTTGACAGTTTCCTTTGCTGCCTCTTTACTTAAGGACAGTGTGAAAAGATAAGGCAAATTATGTCACCTCATCTTTGATTTTGTGCGAAAGTTTCCAGTGATTGATATTTAGGCAAGAAAAATTTGCCCTCCATCTGTCATCTTTTTTCCCACCTATTAACTTACTCTTTGAAGGGAGCAGCTGGTATAAAATTCTAAAATGCATTAAAATTTTTAGTTCTTAGCTTAGCTGTTCATGTTCAGCAGCTTTTGACAGAGACAACCCGTGAAGTTGTTTTAAAGGGAATCTACTATTTTATTTTCCAAAGTCAAGTTTGAAAACCCACTGTAGCCAGACCATATGGGGGCATGGGTTAGATTAAAGGAGTGGTCCCACATTGAGATTAGGGAAGTGGGTGGTATTAGGATGACGTGCAGAACTTTTTTAACTAGAAAAAAATCCAGGTGGCATATATGTAGTTTAGAAAACTACAGGCCCTGATCCTTTCAGAATCATGACTTTAAAGAGAGGTCTAGGGTACCACGCTGCCTCAAGCCTCTGATAACGTGATTCATCCAGGACAGTTGTGAAGCGGATTTCTGGACTCAACTCATATTCCCGAATCAGAATGTAGGTCTGATACCTTCTTAGAGAAAAGTTGGAAAACATAAACCTAGTTGCACAAAGTATCAATAGTTATCACTTCATTCACAATGATGTTTGGGAAATGCTTCCATCTCCCACTTTGGAGGATTGGAAGGATACATTTAAGATATTTAAGTTTCTAAAAAGTTCTGTACTAAAGATACATTGTAAGCTTTGTTACTCAGACTTATTTTCCACTGAATACTTTTTGCTGTAGCATGTCCATCAGCAGTAGCCATAGGAAATGCGGGGTTATATATACAGCCTGGAAACTAGGGTGTGAAAGGCCTAGGCACCTGTTCGCAGTGCTGTTACGGATAATCATTTCTTGTCTTTGAAATGCCCATGACATATTGTCGTTATATTTCATAGTAAGCAGAGAAAGTATAGCATAGACGGTATGATCTCACTCTTGGGTATCTTTTTATTTATCTAATTCTAGAAGATTACCAAAACATTAATATGTTATCTCTGAGTAATGAGACTACAAATGACTTTATCTTTACTTCTTCATTCATCTCTCTATTATATTAACTTTATAATCTCAAAATAAAGCTATTTTTACTTTTTAAAAAATGTCATGAGTCAGAGTTGGAAGAGGTTTATAATATCAAGAAGTTTGGAAGTATTGCTATAAAACAGAAGTACTCGTATTAATTATTAACTAGAATATTCTTTGAGACTTGTGTAATGTGATTAATTCCACGGTTCACACAGCAGAGTTAG